ATTGAGTATTTTGTTGGTTTTCTAAATGATTAAGCACAGTAATAAGCCTGTTTTGACCTACAAAGAATCCAAGAAAACGGACTATACAAATTTCGTACAATCGACTCTGAAGTCTCATCCTGTATATTTATATAAATATTCCACCTGAATCAAAATTAAATTCCAAAACTTAATTGGCAAATTATGCAGCCAGGGGCTTTCACGCGGGGGGGGGGGGGGGGTAGTTTTTATCGGATGCTTTGGCGAATTCAAATGTTCCTTGTTTCATTGATGATACAGCATCCATTTGTAGTAAAATGGGATTATTATCATTTAAATCTATTCTCAGCCAGGTGTAATCTTTCTTAAGGTTGGCAGTTTTGGTGTTTATTGTGCTTGTTGGTTTACTCTGATATTTATTTTTAAATTCTTTATTATTTTAAGTATATACTAGATATATAGATAGATTTCTTAAGTGCAGGTACATTACTTTTGCTTTAAATTCTAAAAACTTGAATGTTGAAATCTGAACCTAAAATGTGGAGTTTGTAAAAACAATTATCAATAATCTTTTGCTTTTGTATTTTTATAGGAATTGCAGGATGGAATAATAATAATATATGAATAATGGAATAAAAGATGTGATTAATTGGATATTAAATAAAATTATGTTTTTTGTGAATAAAGATAGGAATAGAACTGATAAAAAGGGAAACTTGAAACCTAAAAAGGCATTCAGTTGAAGACTTGGGACAAGTCAAGAAGATTTTTAAGAACCACCCCTTTTCATCAGTTCTTCCTTAGAATTAACCCATTCCTTGTTTATATTCTAACAAGAATTTGAGGATAGAGAAATCTGACAGTAGTGTTATATTTGGTCCGAACACTACACATTGTCTGATATAACCCATCGCAGTTCACAAATAAAAACTACCGTTTTAAGTTGTACTTTTTTATCAATTATTAGATTTCCTAATGTACAAGGTTACCCACAAAGGATGAGACTGTAAAGACGACTAGAAACTCTGAAAATATGACGATCCTAAGGTTAAATTAAGCCTTCTTCCTTGGATTTAGTAGTTTCATGGCATATAATGATTTGGCAAAGAAAGTTTACAATTTCAGGGATTCGTGAATATAAGGAAACATAAATAAAGGAATTGAGTCTTTGCCACTAACTCTGATTTTCTGATCACTATATCTTTGGAACAAAATGTTTCATACCTTAGATATTTCAAACTATGAATTCTGTTAGATCAAATAATCTAAGTTTGAAATATCAAAGGTTTACAACATCGAATTCTAAAGATATTGAGGTTTAAATGTTTGATTTTGTTCCAAAGGCTCAATTCCTTTCGTCTTTGTGGGTAAACCTGTATCTATGATTTCCTAGTTTCTATTTTCAGAATTTACAAGACGACCTTCATTATAGACTGAGATCTTATAAGGGGCGGGGGGAATGGATAAACTGAGGCCGTAATTAAAAATTATTGATAAGAGAGAGGGGGGGGGGCTTTCTGCCACAGTAAAAAAGAACTAACTTCACCTTAAATTTGATCTTAAAGTGGAAATAGGGGGGGGGGGGGGAAGNAAGGATAAGGATGTTGATTAAGATGAGAAGGAAAAGGATGTTGATTAAAATGAGAAGGATAAGGATGTTGATTAGAGGATTACAAGGATAAGGATGTTGATTAAGATAAGAAGGATAAGGATGTTGATTAAGATAAGAAGGATACGGATGTTGATTAGGATGAGAAGGATAAGGATGTTGATTAAAATGAGAAGGAAAAGGATGTTGATTAAAATGAGAAGGATAAGGATGTTGATTAGAGGATTAGAAGGATAAGGATATTGATTAAGATATGAAGGATAAGGATGTTGATTAAGATGAGAAGGAAAAGGATGTTGATTAAGATGAAAAGGATAAGGATGTTGATTAAAATGAGAAGGATAAGTATGTTGATTAAGATGAGAAGGATAAGGATGTTGATTAAAATGAGAAGGATACGGATTTTGATTAAGATGAGAAGGATAAGGATGTTGATGAAAATGAGAAGGATAAGAATTTTGATTAAGATGAGAAGGATAAGAATGTAGATTAAGATGAGAAGGATAAGGATGTTGATTAAGATGAGAAGGATTAGGATGTTGATTAAAATGAGAAGGATACGGATTTTGATTAAGATGAGAAGGATAAGGATGTTGATGAAAATGAGAAGGATACGAATTTTGATTAAGATGAGAAGGATAAGAATGTTGATTAAACTGAGAAGGATAAGGATTTTGATTAAGATGAGAAGGATAAGGATGTTGATTAAAATGAGAAGGATAAGAATGTTGATTAAAATGAGTAGGATAATGATTTTGATTAAGATGAGAAGGATAAGAATGTTGATTAAGATGAGAAGGATAAGGATGTTGATTAAGATGAGAAGGATTAGGATGTTGATTAAAATGAGAAGGATTAAGATGTTGATTAAGATGAGAAATGAGGATAAAGATAATGCAGAGGTTAAATGTGTGGATGAAGATGAGGTATAAGCAGGAGAAGGATAAGAATGAAGATAAAGATAAGGGTTTATAAAGTGAGAAAAAGAGGAGGTTGCCTGGAACTAGGCCCACAGCCGAGGCTCAGTATTGATTCAAGCAGTTCAAACTTCAACACAAAATCTCAGCAGAAGAATATCATAACACTGTAATATTGACATATCAAAACATCAATATTTAACTACAGGTCACTGTAAACATCAAATATTCAACTACAGTCCACTGTAAACATATTCTACTACAGTTCAATGTTAACATCAAATATTCAACTACAGGTCACTGTAAAAATCAAATAGTCAACTACAGGTCACTGTTAACATCAAATATTCAACTACAGGTCACTGTAAACATCAAATATTCAACTACAGGTCACTGTTAACATCAAATATTCAACTGCAGGTCACTGTGAACATCAAATATTCAACTACAGTTCACAGTGAACATCAAATATTCAACTACAAGCCACTGTAAACATCAAATATTCAACTACAGGTCACTGTTAACATCAATATTAAACTACAGGTCACTGTGAACATCAAATATTCAACTACAGGTCACTGTAAACATCAAATATTCAACTACAGGTCACTGTAAACATCAAATATTCAACTACAGTTCACTGTTAACATTAAATATTCAACTACAGTCCACTGTTAACATCAAATATTCAACTACAGTTCACTGTGAACATCAAATATTATAACTACAGTTCAATGTTAACATCAAATATTATAACTACAGTTCAATGTTAACATCAAATTTTTAACTACAGTTCACTGTTAACATCAAATATTTAACTACAGTTCACTGTTAACATCAAATATTCAACTACAGGTCACTGTAAACATCAAATATTCAACTACAGTTCACTGTTAACATTAAATATTCAACTACAGGTCACTGTGAACATCAAATATTCAACTACAGGTCACTGTTAACATTAAATATTCAACTACAGTTCACTGTTAACATCAATATTAAACTACAGGTCACTGTGAACATGAAATATTCAACTACAGTCCACTGTTAACATCAATATTAAACTGAAGGTCACTGTAAACATCAAATATTCAACTACAGTCCACTGTTAACATCAAATAGTCAACTACAGTTCGCCGTAAAAATCAAATATTCAACTACTGTTCACTGTTAACATCAAATATTCAATTACAGTTCACTGTTAACATCAAATATACAACTACAGTTTACTGTTAACATCAAATATTCAACTACAGTTCACTGTTAACATCAAATATTCAACTACAGGTCACCTTTAACATCAAATATTCATCTACAGGTCACTGTTAACATCAAATATTCATCTACAGGTCACTGTTAACATCAAATATTAAACTACAGTTTACTGTTAACATCAAATATTCAACTACAAGTCACTGTGAACATCAAATATTTAACTACAGGTCACTGTAAACATATTCAACTACAGTTCACTGTTAACATCAAACATTCATCTACAGGTCACTGTTAACATCAAATATTAAACTACAGTTTACTGTTAACATCAAATATTCAACTACAGGTCACTGTTAACATCAAATATTTAACTGCAGGTCACTGTAAACATCAAATATTCAACTACACGTCACTGTAAACATCAAATATTCAACTACAGTCCACTGTTATCATCAAATAGTCAACTGCAGTTCACTGTCAACATCAAATATTCAACTACAGTTCACTGTTAACATCAAATATTCAACTACAGTTCACTGTTAACATCAAATATTCAACTACAGTTCACTGTTAACATCAAATATTCAACTACAGTTCACTGTTAACATCAAATATTCAACTAAAGTTCACTGTTAACATCAAATATTCAACTACAGGTCACTGTACACATCAAATATTTAACTAAAGTTCACTGTCAACATCAAATATTCAACTACAGTTTACTATTAACATCAAATATTCAACTACAGTTCACTGTTAACATCAAATATTCAACTACAGGTCACTGTAAACATCAAATATTCAACTAAAGTTCACTGTTAATATCAAATATTCAACTACAGTTTACTGTTACCATCAAATATTATAATCACAGGTCACTGTTGCCATCAGGTATTCAACTACAGTTCAATGTTAACATCAAATATTTAACTACAGTTCACTGTTAACTTCAAATATAATAATCACAGGACACTGTAGACATATTTAACTAAACTTCACTGTTAACATCAAATATTTAACTATATTTCACTGTTAACATCAAATATTATAACTTCAGTTCAATGTAAATATCAAATATTCAAATATATTGTACTATAAACATCAAATATTAAAGTATATTGCACTATAAACATCAAATACTCAATTATCTAGGTGAGTAGGTGTACAAGGTCAGTAAAAAAACACGGATTATCGATGTATTTGACAAAATTTTCAAGAATCACAAAGAACTAGATAAAGCATCAAATATTAAACATTAATGTTTACCCCTGTACAGTGTACATTCCAGATGATCTATACAAGAAAAGAATGGTTTTGATTCTCCTGATCCTGTTCCTACCATGGATGGAAGGGTTAAACCAAAACCAAGAAATATATCTGCAAAATTGTCCTTCTCAGGTAATAATGTTCCAAAATTCAATTTTCGTTTAAAAATTTGATAAAATTTAGATTTTCTGAGATTACAAATTTTTAAATACACTGTTTAAGAATGTGAGCCTGCCCTGTACTCCAGCTCAGATTGATGAATTTATTAGTTCACAACTCAAGGATGATTTAGATATTCATGCAGTTCTATCCAAGGTAAAACATGTATAAATTTATAATTTGAGATCAAATATTGATTTGAGTTCCAAGGCGCTGTAAAAAGTATTGCATTAATTATATGAGTTAAGGCGGGAGTCAGAAACTTAAAAGAATCGAGTTTTTGTCAAAAACTCTAATTATCTTATTCTTATATCTTTGCATTTCAATGTCCGAACTTAGATATTTCAAGCTGTGACTCATTTTAGATCAAATAATGATAGTTTGAAATATCAAAGGCGTACACCATCTGGTTGCAAAGATAAAGCGATTGCAAAATCAGAATTTGTGGCAAAAAATCAGTTCCTTTGCTTCCAGAATTACACTTTGTAAAACTTTTTTATTTGAAACAAAATTATTCATAATATAAAATCTTTAAATCAATTGTTCACAACTTTTTAAGGCTGGGTAATGTTCCATACACGAAAGACAGTTTGGGAAACCTAGCGGAAAATTCCGTTAACGAACCCGGAAAAACATTTGATTTGTAAACATTAAAGAAAGAAAAGATCTGTTCATGGAAAAACTCATTTTCAAAAGTGGACATGGATAACTCATTCAATCATGACATTCAACGCCTTTAAATTTACCGTAGTGAATCGAACATGCTACTTTAGAGATAGAGATATCCTTGAAATAACGTATATATTCTCTTGAAGGTTTATATCCCTGGAGTATGCTACCATGAAAGAACTAAATACTGCCCTACAGAGCTCATCAGCTGTAACAATTCTTTCAACCACGGATACAACTTTAGTATAAAAGGTAATTTTTTACAATTTAAATATACAACCAAGATTTTACGACAATTCGTTTACCGTAAACAGTGACTATTTTAGCTTTTAATTTTTTTTTCAAACCGCTATTTTCTTTGTACATCATAAAACTATAATTAGCGGTTTTTTTTGTTGTCATTGGTGAATTAAAAAAATATTTGTATTATATTAATTAGAAAAACGTTAGAAAAACTAGTCAATTTTTTGTTATCTTTTAAGAATTTCCAAACCGAAATTTTTAGATTCAGACCAGCCAATACACTTCCCTTGGGGGTCAGGTGTGTTACGTTACCACAATAATTTTAGCCTGATCTGATTTATCTTTCGACTTTTGTAGAATACAAACAAACAAACTTAAGTTAAACATTATTATATGTAGATATAATGCTAGGGTGGTGTATGGACTGCTAGGATAAAATTTAATAATATTCAGACCAAAAAATCATTTCCTGGATTTTCAAACATAGCTAAAAAATAAAAAAGGAAAATTATTGTCTTGTTATTTTTCAATAATCTAAAAAACAAAAACATTTAAATTTGGCGTGTGATGACACATAGAATTTGCAACCAACGGAATACACCATATAAAAACGTTGTTTGTTTGTTGTCAAAAACCTAATTTAAACATTGAAACATAAGAATGGGGGCTCAGAATTCTGTTAAAAAAATGAGAAATGTTCACCTGGTATATTTTCACTTAAAAATAAAAGAATAAATGGGACTAATATTTCATAATTGGTTTTGTGTTTAGGAGAATGTATCAGTAAGCATGAGAAATGTTCTTTATTTCATTTAAAGGATTCCTGCCAAAACCTTGTTTGTAACCAGTCCCAGTATCTTTGCCATCCCAAGGTTTGTAAGGAGGGCCGGTGACGGGGACTTTTCATTTTTGGATAAAACTGATTTTTGATCATAATAAATAAATAAACTAATAAGAAATAAAATCTAAATCTAAAAAATACTAGAATCTGTTTATCTTTGTAATTTTATTCTGTCTGTTTGATTCAGTAATTAAGGATAACGGGTTCAACACAAATAAAATCGATTATTAATTTTCTTTAAGTCATCGAAAAAAATAACAGAATACGATTACAATTGTCGAAGAAATTAGGTCCTAAGAAATTCAAGATTACGACTTAAAAATGGCTGTGTTGGTTGGTTGTTGGAAGGATGTTGATTAAAATGAGAAGGATAAGGATGTTGATTAGAGGATTAGAAGGATACATTATCTTGTCATGTCAACTCAGAAACGTGTTTTCAAGCCTTTAATTAAAATTCTAATCATATTTCAGAATGATGTAGAGTGGAAAAATAACATTATCTTGTCATGTCAACTTACACAACAAATTTATTTTTATACCAAACTCTTTTAAATGCACCGTTGGTAAATGATTGTAGCTGCCATATTATAAACTGTCTATTTACCGTATAGGGCTGTATACCACTTAATGCATTGTGCAATGGAAGATGCCTCCCTCTGAAAAAAATCAAATCTTCCCTCCATCAGCCTTCAAATACAAGTACAAAAATATCCCAGGTACCCAGTACACATATATCCCAAGTACCCAGTGCACATATATCCCAGGTACCCAGTACACATATATCCTAGGTACCCAGTACACATATATCCCAGGTACCCAGTACACATATGTCCCAGGTAACCAGTACACATATATTCCAGGTACCCATTAAACACATATCACAGGTACCCAGTACACAGATATCCCAGGTACCCAGTACACAGATATCCCAAGTACCCAGTACACATATATTGCAGGTACCCAGTAAACATATATTCCAGGTGCCCAGTACAAATATATCCCAGGTACCCAGTACAAATGTATTCCAGGTACGCAGTACAAACATATACCCAATACACAGATATCCCAGGTAACCAGTACACATATATCCCAGGTACCCAGTGCACATATACCAGGTAACCAGTACACATATATCCCAGGTACCCAGTGCACATATACCAGGTAACCAGTAAACACATATCCCAGGTACCCAGTAAACATATATCCCAGGTACCCAGTACACATATATCCCAGGTACCCAGTAAACATATATCCCAGGTACCCATTAAACATATATCCCAGGTACCCAGTACACATATATCCCAGGTACCCAGTACACATATATCCCAGGTACCCAGTACACATATATCCCAGATACCCAGTACACATATATCCCAGGTACCCAGTAAACATATATCCCAGGTACCCATTAAACATATATCCCAGGTACCCAGTACACATATATCCCAGGTACCCAGTACACATATATCGCAGGTACCCAGTACACATATATCCCAGATACCCAGTACACATATATCCCAGGTACCCAGTACACTTATATCCCAGATACCCAGTACACATATATCTCAATTACCTAGTGCACATATATCTCAGGTACCCAGTACACATATACCCCAAGTACCCAGTGCACATATATCCCAGGTACCCAATACACAGATATCCCAGGTAACCAGTACACATATATCCCAGGTACCCAGTAAACAAATATCCCAGGTACCCAGTAAACATATATCCCAGGTACCCAGTGCACATATATCCCAGGTACCCAGTAAACATATATCCCAGGTACCCAGTACGCATATATCCCAGGTACCCAGTACACATATATCCCAGGTACCCAGTACACATATATCCCAGGTACCCAGTACACATATATCGCAGGTACCCAGTACACATATATCTCAAGTACCCAGTGCACATATATCTCATGGTACCCAGTACACATATATCCTGGGTACCAAGTACACATATATCCCAGGTACAGAGTACACATATATTCTAGGTACCCAGTATACATATATCCTAGGTACCAAGTACACAGATAACCCAGGTACCCAGCACACACATATATCACAGGTACCCAGTACACATATATCCCAGGTACCCAGTACACATATATCCCAGATACCCAGTACACAAACATCCCAGGTACCCAGTACAAACATATACCAGGTACCCAGTACACATATATCCCAGGTACTCAGTGCACATATATCCCAGGTACCCAGTACACATATATCCCAGGTACCCAGTACACATATATCCCAGGTACCCAGTAAACATATATCCCAGGTACCCAGTACACATATATCCCAGTACTCAAAATAACAAATTTTGTATGCTCAGAATAATTTATCATAGGGTACTCATATTTATGATTTTTTGTTCACAGATTCATAAACATCCGGAATACTATGAAAGACGAATAAAGTGCGGAAATTCTTGTCTTTCAAGGTAAATAAATACTACCGGACATTTTGAGAAATAAAAAGAAAATTAGATTCAAATTCTAGACAAACTACTGGAAAACATGAGAACTTTGTAATATATATATATTTAAAATTTTCCAGATATTTAAAACTATAAAAATGATAGAAGTTAACCATTTCATACATTTAAAACAACTGCTTGTAAGATGTATAAAATTCTGTCAGTTCTCAATTTTATTCTGATAGTAAAGCATTAGTTTCTGAAGAAAAAATCCCGGTTTGTAACAGATGTTTTTATATTGGTAAAATATAAAATGTCTTAAAACAATGGTTGAACCATACATGCTTCTAAACAAACATACAAATTTGAAAGAAAACTTTTTATTGAATAACTTAAGTTTAGTTTAGTTTAGTTTAGTTTAGTTTAGCTTAGTTTAGTTTAGTTTAGTTTAATTTAGTTTAGTTTAGTTTAGTTCAGTTTAGTTTAGTTTAGTTTAGTCTAGTTTAGTTTAGTTTAGTTTAATTTAGTTTAGTTTAGTTTAGTTTAGTTTAGTTTAGTTTATATATAACTAATTGTATTGTATAGAGATGAATCCAAGAATCTGTATGACTGTGGAGGGGAATGCAAGGTGACTTTTAAAAGAAAAACGCTGTCAAAGGGACTGTCTGGATAAACAATGCTTAAAGGGACTGTCTGGATAAAAGCTGCCTAAAGGGACTGTCTGAATAAACGATGCTTAAAGGGACTGTCTGGATAAACGCTGCTTAAAGGGACTGTCTGAATAAAAGCTGCTTAAAGGGACTGTCTGGATAAAAGCTGCTTAAAGGGACTGTCTGGATATACGCTGCTTAAAGAGACTGTCTGGATAAATGCTGCTTAAAGGGACTGTCTGGATAAAAGCTGCTTAAAGGAACTGTCTGGATAAACAATGCTTAAAGGGACTGTCTGGATAAAAGCTGCTTAAAGGGACTGTTTGGATAAAAGCTGCTTAAAGGGACTGTCTGGATATACGCTGCTTAAAGAGACTGTCTGGATAAACACTGCTTAAAGGGACTGTCTGGATAAAAGCTGCTTAAAGGAACTGTCTGGATAAACAAGGCTTAAAGGCACTGTCTGGATAAAAGCTGCTTAAAGAGACTATCTGTATAAAAGCTGCTTAAAGGGACTATCTGGATATACGTTGCTTAATGGGACTGTCTGGATAAACGATGCTTAAAGGGACTGTCTGGATTAACGCTGCTTAAAGGGACTGTCCGGATAAAAGCTGCTTAAAGGGACTGTCTGGATATACGCTGCTTAAAGAGACTGTCTGGATAAAAGCTGCTTAAAGAGACTGTCTGGATAAAAGGTGCTTAAAGAGACTATCTGTATAATAACTACATAAAGGGACTATCTGGATATACGTTGCATAAAGGGACTGTCTTGGATAAACGATGCTTAAAGGGACTGTCTGGATTAACGCTGCTTATAGGGACTGTCCGGATAAAAGCTGCTTAAAGGGACTGTCTGGATATACGCTGCTTAAAGAGACTGTCTGGATAAACGCTGCTTAAAGGGACTGTCTGGATAAAAGCTGCTTAAAGGGACTGTCTGGATAAACNAATTTCTGATCGGGTCATTGTGTACAGTGGCTGTACAATAAGAAGTCTAAAATTCCAGATGCCCCCTCTATTACTAATATCTCGATGTTTATAACGGTATCTTTTAAACATTTATCTGATCAATAATGAGAAAGGTATTGTTGTTGTTTTTTTATCTTGAAAAGTGATAAAGTCTAACAATTTCTTCTAACAATTTCTTCCTTTGCTTCTGAAGAACAAATGCATTAATGCTCAAGTAACTTTCTAATGAAACCGTAATTGAAAATAACCATGATTAAAAAGTAAGATGATGGCTATATCATGCATTTTAAATCAGGCAAAACTTTGATTGGTACCATTGTGAATGAAACAATTGATAACTGGAGAGCCACTTAAATTACGCCTTACAGTTCACTCACCTTTTATAAGGCATCACTCAGTATGGGTCTTTAACATTATTTCGTCTGATAAATTTCTACTAATGGAGCAATGTAAACAAACTTTTTTTATTATCCCAAGAATAGTGAAGCAGGTCAACTAGTCGTAAAAAGTTCAACTACTTCTTCATTAAATTTTTTTTAGTTATTAATTTTCAGAATAAATCAGAGCCATGTAGAGATCCTGGAGAGAATATTTGTCCTCAACATTATATACTTTGTGGAGCTGATACATGCATAGATAAGTAAGCAGATACATAAATAGATAAGTAAGCTGATACATGCATAGATAAGTAAGCAGCTACATGCATAGATAAGTAAGCATATACATGCATAGATAAGTAAGCAGATACATACGTAGATAAGTAAGCAGATACATGCATAGATAAGTAAGCTGATACATGCATAGCAAGATTAGTAAGCAGATACATGCTTAGATAAGTAAGCTGATTCATGCATAGATAAGTAAGCTGATACATGCATAGATAAGTAAGCTGATACATGCATAGATAAGTAAACAGATACATGCGTAGATAAGTAAGCATATACATGCATATATAAGTAAGCATATGAATGCATAGATAAATAAACAGATACATGCATAGATAAGGAAGCTGATACATGCATAGCCAAGTAAGCATATACATGCATAGATAAGTAAGCAGATACATGCATAGATAAAATAAGCAGATACATGCTTAGATAAGTAAGCAGATACATGCATAGATAAGTAAGCATATACATGCATAGATAAGTAAGCAGATACATGCTTAGATAAGTAAGCATATAAATGCATAGATAAGTAAGCAGATACATGCTTAGATAAGTAAGCTAATACTTGCGTAGATAAGTAAGCATATACATACATAGATAAGTAAGCTGATACATGCATAGATAAGTAAGCGTATACATGCATAGATTAGTAAGCATATACATGCATAGATAAGTAAGCATATACATGCATAGATAAGTAAGCAGATACATGCATAGATAAGGAAGATGATACATGCATAGATAAGTAAGCATATAAATGCATAGATAAGTAAGCAGATACAAGCTTAGATAAGTAAGCTGATACATGCGTAGATAAGTAAGCATATACATACATAGATAAGTAAGCGTATACATGCATAGATAAGTAAGCATATACATGCATAGATAAGTAAGCATATACATGTATAGATAAGTAAGCATATACATGCATAGATACGTAAGCAGATACATGCATAGATAAGTAAGCAGATACATACATAGATAAGAAAGCTGATACATGCATAGATAAGTAAGCAAATACATGTATAGATAAGTAAGCATATAAATGCATAGATAAATAAGCAGATACATGCATAGATAAGTAAGCGCGCAAATAAATGAATAGATAAGTAAGCATATACATGCATAGATAAGTAAGCAGATACATGTATAGACAGTTAAGAAAATACATGCATAGATAAGTAAGAAGGGATTATAAGCATCTAACGAATATCTAGGTTTGAGCATGGCAGAGTTCTAGAAAAAACTGGGTTTCCAGAATATTTTTCTTGTTCTGGAGTTTGTACACCAGCATCCAAACCTTGTAGAGAAAATAATACACTGCACTGCCAGAACGGGTAAATAATAAATACAGAATAAGACTTCAATGACGACTTTCCAGATTTGACTGTTTGAAGGTTTGGTTTTCTGGTCTGAAACAAATTTTTGAAAAAATCTTAAAGTCGTCTTTACAGTCTGAACATGTGTGGGTAACCCTGTGCACATATACATCATATATTATATATCTTACATTGAGAACTTAAAGTAAAATAAGAATTTTCAAAACAAATTTGTTAAAACACGTATAAATTCTCGTAAAAAATGCAATTGCGCATTTAATTGATTGATTGATTTTAAAAATACATCACAAACTTAAAGAGACCTTTTCTTATTTTAAGTTTATAAACAACAGTAAGTTTAACTTTAAGTTTTAACTTCCAACTAAAAAATACTTGTGTTGTCGACAGGGTTTTTATTTTTAATAAAACATTTTATTATGTTTCAGCAGCAATAAAGCATTTCATTTTGAAATATATTACACGGTTAAAGAGCGGGATAAAATGTGAAAATTCTTCAATAAAAGTAATTTACATTGTACAACTCACAAAGAGATGTTATTGCCAAGAATAAATTCACAGACTTTATGAAAAATGTTGAATTATATGAACATGTACAGTTGTACACCTATAGTAGGAACATGTACAGTTGTACACCTATAGTAGGAACCAGAATAATGTTGAATTATATGAACATGTACAGTTGTACACCTATAGTTGGAACCAGAATAATGTTGAATTATATGAACATGTACAGTTGTACACCTATAGTAGGAACAAGAATAATGTTGAATTATATGAACATGTACAGTTGTACACCTATAGTAGGAACCAGAATAATGTTGAATTATATGAACATGTACAGTTGTACACCTATAGTAGGAACAAGAATAATTGTCGGATTAATTCTTTCTTTTACTTATGAAATGTTTCGAAGGAATTTGTAATTTGCAATTGTTGCCGCTTATATATCTCCATAGAAACGTTATTTAAAAAATTTAGCATGTTTTTAGCAAAGAGTTTTTTAAATTAAAACTTTACTTAACTCTACAAATTGAATGCAAAAATATTCTAAAGTATTTGCTGTTTTCTGGTTTAAACATGTCAAATTGCCCAAAAATGAGAAAATTCCCACTTCGTTGCGTCAAATTTTGAGGAAAATTTTTTAATTGCGTATAAAAAGCAAAAGTCTTCCATGCCTCGTGAATAGTTTAAACTATTGTGATCATTAACTCATTTTGCATTTATTCAATAGAATTATTTGATTGCACTGATTTTGGCGTAAAATCATAATATTTTTTTTTCATCAAAATAACTTGTCGAATTCTAGATATTGGATGTGTAAAGGGAAAGAGGAATGTATTCTTCAGGAAGAAATAGGCCGTGAAGGGTAGGTTTATATCCGGTTTATATCGTAGTAAAAAGCGAAATATTTGGCAAACCTTTCCCTGATGTAAAATCAATATCTCTGAACCTTTTCTCTCATTGTTTTCGATATATAAACAGGGTGGCGGTGCCCGAAAAAAAATCCCCGTGAAACTTTAGTCTTTTACTACATTCAATAATAATTAAAAAGGTTCTGTTTGGTTTACCCAGCTCTATATATATCTCTAGTTCTGATTGGTTTACCCAGCTCTATATATATATCTCTAGTTCTGTTTGGTTTACCCAGCTCTATATATATATCTAGTTCTGTTTGGTTTACCCAGCTCTGCGATGGAATCCCTCAGTGTAAGGACGGTTCTGATGAATCAGCTTCCCAATGCTTTAAGGTAAGATAAATTGTCACTTCCCCCCATTCCCAATTCCCTGTTCATGATAATATCTTTTATCCTTTATTTTATCTTATGTCGTCTAAACTATCTGTTTTCAGGTTTACAGTCTTCAAATATCAATAACATGTGCTCTACTCTTCTTTCTTCTGCCTTCTCTTGCCTTTTTCATCTGTTATTACAGGTCAAACTAACATTATGTAATCTAGTATTACAGGTCAAACTAACATTATGTAATATAGTATTAAAGGTCAAACTAACATTATGTAATATAGTATTGAAGGTCAAACTAACATTATGTAATCTAGTATTACAGGTCAAACTAACATTATGTAATCTAGTATTACAGGTCAAACTAACATTATGTAATCTAGTAGTACAGGTCAAAGTAACATTATGTAATCTAGTATTACAGGTCAAACTAACATTATGTAATCTAGTATTACAGGTCAAACTAACATTATGTAATCTAGTATTACAGGTCAAACTAAAATTATGTAATCTAGTATTACAGGTCAAACTAACATTATGTAATCTAGTATTACAGCTCAAACTAACATTAGGTAATCTAGTATTACAGGTCAAACTAACATTATGTAATCTAAAATAATACTATTTCTCTGCAATATCTTTCTTAATATAATATTAGATTACTTAATTCAAATAATTCAATTTCTTTGTAATTTTTTTTTCTATGCCATATCTTTTACATATGCTACTCCAGGTCCAAATTACATTTATTAATTCAAAATATTTCAATTTCATTGCAATTTCTTTTTCATTAAAGCCTACAGGAAAAACAACATTTAATTTGAAATATTTCAATTTCTCTGCAATATCTTTTTCATATGTTATTACAGGTCAAAATAACATTAACTAATTCATAATAATCCAATATCTATGGAATATCTTTTTCATTTGTTATTACAGGTCAAAACAACATTAACTAATTCAAAATAATTCAATATCTATGGAATATCTTTTTCATATGTTAGTACAGTTCAAAATGACATTAATTAATTCAAAATAATTCAATATCTATGGAATATCTTTTTCATTTGTTATTACAGGTCAAAATAGCATTCATTAATTCAAAATAATTCAATATCTGTGGAATATCATTTTCATATGTTATTACAGGTCAAAATAACATTAATTAATTCAAAATAATTCAATATCTATGGAATATCTTTTTCATTTGTTATTACAGGTCAAAATAACATTAATTAATTCAAAATAATTCAATATCTATGTAATCTATGGAATATCTTTTTTATTTGTTATTACAGTTCAAAGTAACATTCATTAATTCAAAATAATTCAATATCTGTGGAATATCTTTTTCATATAATAGTACAAGTCAAAATAGCATTCTTTATTCAAAATTATTCAATTTCTATGCAATTCATTTTTCAAATATAACGTCCAAAGAACATTGAATAATTTTTAATTCATTAAGTTTCTTTGCAACATCTTTGCATATGCTTTTAAAGGTCAAAATAATTCCAAAAAGTCCAAGAAATTAATTCAATTTTCATGACATGTTTTCCCTTGCAATTTAAGGACTTAAAAATGCAATTTTCACATTTTGAGTTTTGTAAATCACATCTTAAAAAATTACATTCTGATGTGAAAAATTAAATGAACTGAATATGGTTTTCTTTGAAAATCAGAAAACTCTCCCAAACTTAAAAAAATGACTTTTTAATGAGATTTGAAATAAATGCCATATGCATTGTTTAGAAATCACTTGACTGTCTTGATCTCAAAACTCCGATCTGGAATCACACAACGAGATTCAGTACAGGATAAAAGTTATTTAGGAAATGAGGTAAAAATTCAACAATCATTTTATAAGAAATGTTGGGACTCTTATAATTTTGTATCCTTCCCGTAAACAACCATGATAATTTCCTCTTTTACTGCACACATTCTCTTTAAGGTTCAGGTTGGTACATTTCCCCTTTACTGCACACATTCTCTTTAAGGTTCAGGTTGGTACATTTCCCCTTTATTGCACAGATTCTCTTTAAGGTTCAGGTTGGTACATTTCCCCTTTAAACACTATGTTAAATATTCCCTCTGACTGCAACATCAAACTATAGAATCCAGATCATTTGCTTCGGTATTTGCTTTCTCATGCTTTGTTATAACAAGTAATCCTCCATTAAATACCTCTCTACCACCCTGTCCTCCCCCCCCCCCATCTTCCTCCATTTTCAATTTCCACTCACCCCTATCTCTCCCTCCCCTTCACCTCATCCATCTCGTCTCTCAATTCTCCTTATCCCCCCCCCTTTACGACTTTATTTGAAACCAATGAAACCCAACCTAGACATAGAATAAGTCACACCTGAACCCAGGATATACATTGATACCAATCCTTATGGTAAACTTACCTAAGAGATATAAATCATTCCATCAATTCCAGCAAATTAAAATGTCTTTTTAATCAGAAATACTTATGACCAATGTTATAATGCAAGGAAAGTTATTTTAGAGGTGTACACATCTTTTGTACTGCAGTGCACTGTCTCTGGGAGATATTGTAAACACAAGACGGATGTAGAAGCCTGACATGGAATCCATCTTTCACATAAAAGATCAATGAAATATTCTGGTCATTGGAAACTATTATGTGAATTATCAAAATTTTCAAAATTCAATACTCCTCGAATACTAAACGAACACTGATGCATCTATTCTTGTGTACAAATTCCTCCCATAAAGAACTGGTTTCAATATGTACGCAGAGAATACGCAAACGCAATTGCCTTTCCTTGTATTAAAACCTTGCTTATGAGGAAGATCGGTTTTGGCTGGTGGAAATACAGTTTGGTAAAGGTATTGTCTACATTATCTCCTTTACGCAAATTATATTGATTCTCACTTTTTTCTTGTTTAGGACGAGATGTTTTTACGAGGAGTAGCTCCAGAGGATGTTGATTAGTTGATTGACTAATTAATTAATTATTTTATTGTTATGGATTAGCTTCGAGTAAAAGCGTGTTACTTTTATTATATTATAGTCTTCATGCTTAGTCATCCTTTTCCACCAGAGTTTATAGAAATCCTTATACAGCTTTTACAGGGTGTTCAAATCATACATAGCAATTTTCTTCAAGAAGAACTCTAAACTTTGTGTACAGAACTTTTCTCAGTTTGCTGCAGAGCCCAAAACTTAAAACAGGGTATCGTAATGAAAACCAGTTTTAAAACCCGGGTTTCGCGAATGGGGTTAGGCAGTTTTGTGGATATCAATATTTTTTGTTGTGAAATATCATTTTATTTATTTTCTTCATAATCTCCACTTTTTAAATCTTTTAAATCAAAATCTACAATAATGCTTAGACCCCATAAAGGAAACTCGAGAGTTTCGTTCAACGATACTCTTTTAAATTTCGGGCTCAGTACAGTATGACAGTACATGCAATCAAAACACAAACAAACTCAAAACTCTGACAGTATTAACAAAAATTGTCTTTTTGGAAAACGTCTCTGTCAACCTTTCTGCTAATTTCTGTGTAAAAGAACTGATTACTCGCCACAAATTCTGATTTTGATGATTTGCTAATTTATTCTGGAAAAAGTGATAGTTTTGCAATCACAAACGTTTACAACATCAGATTGCAAATATAAATGGTTTAGATTATGGAGAGTAATCTGTTTCCCTTGTTTTATATTTACTTACAGCTTTTATTTCTCACATGGATAAAAAAATACTTTTTGGTGCTTTATAAACCTTATAACCGTCCTGTGCATAGGCGCAAATAGGAGTAGGGACAATGCTCGAAAAAGGAATTAAGGCAAATTCAAATTTTCTTATCTCTATATCGTTGCAACCTGATGGTTCATAACAACATTGGGTTGGATAGATAGAGGGATTAGAAAATGAGATTTTGTTACAAAGCTAAATTTCTTTAAAGTTTTCTATGTTTCTTTAAAGGGACTGCAAACATAATTTTAAGTGACCTCCGATTTTTAGAAAGGGACGTCTTATTAACAACAGTACACTTTTAACCTTTACCTGATCACTTGTTAATGAGATATACTTGTTTTTCTAGCTGAAAATCAATTATCTTAAATTCTTTTTTCTCATAGGTAACGCGTGGATTTAAGCAGACAATTGTTAGGATTTGACTCCGTTAAAGATAGAGAAAAGACGATATCATCCTCATTATCGCTCTAATAAACTTAAAAGCTTTGTCAGGATACATGTGTTGCATTAAACCTGTTACTACACTGGATAGCCTGGCTGGACAGTATGACTAAATGCATATACAGTACATGATGTACCGGCACGGATCATGCAAATTTTAGACTGGGGTGAAAGATTGCGTTGTAAATCTGAATGTCACTTTATAAATGAAGGTTTACATTAAATTACGTCTTTACTCCCTTTAATTTAACAAAACTGTATTTTGAAGAGATAAGGAAGGATGTTAATTCTTAATCAATTATTATTTCAGTAGTCTATAGTTGCTCAAGAAAACCAATGATATATTTCATTTAATGATATTCAAAATCAGTTTATTTTCATCGAGTTCAAAATATTCTAAAGTATCTTTTAGAATTAAAAAAAATATATAAAAAATAGAACTCCTAAATAAAACTTTTTTATGAAACAATTGTGTACTTTATCATTCTTACCCACTTCATCGTGAATTTCATAATGAACGTGCTATAAAGTAATCATCGTGATATTATGTTAAATTAGCTGTATATTATAATACTATGGTATAAAGTAATCATGGTTCTATTATGTTAAATTAGCTGTACATTATCACGTGTGCTATAAAGTTTTGATTATTGGTTCACAGATTTTCTCAAAAAAATTTAGGATATTTCCAAAATATTTTTTTAATTAAAATAAAAATAAAATTGAAATTAACTTTATATTTTGACATCTGCTTTGTTTCAAAGCTTATATGATCTAGAAACAGCCATTGAAATTTGAAAAATACACAAACGTTTCATAAAATTTTTTGGACTTAAATTTTCGCTTTAACTCGAAGGTTCTCGCCATTTTAGATTATAATTTGTCCCTCACTAAAGTTCGAGACAAAATTAAACTAAAATGGCTTGAACCTTCTTGACCAAGAGAAAATTTCTGTCCAAAAACTTTATTATACTGCGAACCAAAATAATAGTGTTATAAATAGTTATTAAAACATAGTTTAGTATGGCAACTGATTTGTATTCCTTTATTTAGCTTGTAGTACCTAGTAGTATCCATCAGAAAATATTAAAATAAATCTGCAGATATATAAATATATACGTTATAAACCTTACAGAAATAAATATTGTTAAAATGGCGCTAATTTACTTGTATATTTATTATTTTTGATCTAAATATTTCCATGTACATTCATTATGTTTAAACACATCTAGTTTGAAGAAAAAAGTCGATTTGACAATGAGAAGAGTGAAGTAAAAGTGTACATAACAACGTTTAATGTTCATTGTCCCATCTAGGTGATTGATTTTGAATCAGAATGTAATCAATTCAAAATCTTGGAATTGATATAAACTATTTTTGATTCAACATCTTCTTAATATTGACACTATATTGAGAAACTCTGGAAGAAAGGTGTATGTATACGAGGTATACTGATTGAATCGTTTTGAGGTTTTTTATTGGATTTTTATGAAGGCTCCACAAGAATTTGAGATTCTTAACTTTTTTCAAAATTTTATGCAAGATAAGTTTGCTTTTTATTAAACAGTGGTAGACCATTATATCAATACAAAAAGACGACTTTATTATGAAATATGTTTCGTCTGACCAAAGATGACAGCTAAAACAATTCAGAACGGTTGATTAAACCGTTTTAATAAATTGTTTTAATAAATCGTTTTGGTTAATATCTGCAGGTCGCTTGAAAATACACGTACAGTCCCTTGAAGTAAAAAGAGCGTTTTCAAAGATTGAAATAGTAAATTAGCTAAAAGGTTCAGAAGAACATGCAACAAGGGTGGGGCTCTGTAGAAGCTGTAGGGGTCCGGGGAAGGGGCGGGATTTGAGGTTGGGATGGGGGTTAGGGGGGGGGGGATTAATAACAATAGAAGAATTAAGTATTGTGGGTGACTGTAAGTTAGTAAGAACAAGGAATTAGAATTAGAAATAAGTTTGGATAAGTTCAGATAAGTTTGGATAAGTTTGAATAAGCTTAGATAAGTTTGGGTTTAGATAAGTTTAAATAAGTTTGGACAAAATTGGATAAGTTTAGATAAGTTTGGATAAGTTTGAATAAGTTTAGAGAAGTTTAGATAAGTTTGAATAAGTTTAGATAAGTTTAAATGAATGTAAGTTAGTAAGAACAAGGAATTAGAATTAAAAATAAGTTTGGATAAGTTTGGATAAGTTCAGATAAGTTTGGATAAGTTTAGATAAGTATGGATAAGTTTGAATAAGCTTAGAAAAGTTTGAATAAGTTTAAATAAGCTTAGATAAGTTTGGGTTTAGATACGTTTAAATAAGTTTGGACAAAATTGGATAAGTTTGGATAAGTTTGAGTAAGTTTGGAGAAGTTTAGATAAATTTGGATAAGTTTGAATAAGTTTAAATTAGTCTGGATAAGTTTGGCCAGTTTGAATATGTTTAGATAAGTTTAAATAAGTTTGGACAAGTTTGGATAAGTTTGGATATGTTTGGATAAGTTTGTATAAGTTTAGATACGTTTGGATAAGTTTGGATAAGTTTGGATAAGTTTGAATAAGTTTGAATAAGTTTAGATAAGTTTGGGTTTAATACGTTTAAATAAGTTTTGACAAAATTGGATAAGTTTGGACAAGTTTGGATAAGTTTAGATAAATTTGGATAAGTTTGGATAAGTTTAGATAAGTTTAAATAAGTTTGGACAAGTTTGGATAAGTTTGGATATGTTTGGATAAGTTTGTATATGTTTGGATAAGTTTGAATAAGTTTGAATAAGTTTAAATAAGTTTAGATAAGTTTGGGTTTAAATACGTTTAAATAAGTTTTGACAAAATTGGATAAGTTTGGACAAGTTGGAATAAGTTTAGATAAGTTTGGATAAGTTTGGATAAGTTTGGCCAGTTTGAATATGTTCAGATAAGTTTAAATAAGTTTGGAGAAGTTCGGATAAGTTTGAATAAGTTTAAATAAGTTTGGATAAGTTTGGATAAGTTTGGATACGTTTGGATAAGTATGGATAAGTTTAGATACGTTTGGATAAGTTTGGATACGTTTAGCTAAGTTTGGATAAGTTTTTGGACAAGTTTAGATAAATTAAGATAAGTTTGTATAGGTTTGGATAAGTTAATAAAGTGCAGAGTAAGTGTACCTCCTTTTCTGTCCGAATTCCCCAAATTGAGTCCCGTAGAATATATTTCCCTTGTATTTAAAAATCCCCCTTGGGGGGTAATTGGTTTTCAGAAACTAAAAGAAAGACCTTGATTTGATTTTTAGATAAGTTCTTCTATATTAAACAACTAAACGTTTATTTACTAAGTTTCAAGGGCGAACCTTTTTTTTACTTAAAAGACTCAAAAATAGTCAAAATTAATAACTAAAGACTAAAAAACTTGGCATCTTTATCTGAACAAAACAAAAATATTTAAATATGTAAAAAAATATTAAAAAAATGTCTTTTCTTGAATATCATTTAAATAGAGAACATCATACATGATACAAGGAGCAATAACAACTAACAGGACAGGTACGTTAGGAAAAGTGTTAGTTGCACCTCTGTACGTTTGGTCAAGAGTCAGGAACAAAACACAAACAACTTGGTTTATCACATCAAAGATAGGAAGAAATCTCGTTCGTGAGAAAAAGAGCAAAGCTGACAGGTCAGGTAACCAAATGCAATTTAGGATTTTAGGAACGAGGTTAAAAAAGAAAGAACTACTAGTAACATTATAGGTCATAAAAAATGAACAATACAATAACACGAATGTTGGGTGAGTTAGCAACAAAAAAGAAATTACTAAATTAGGAACATCAGGATTAAGGATTAAGAAACAAATAAACTATAAACTGGAAACTATAACAGGAACACTGACTATTGAACCAAGAGCCAGCTAAGAACAATAAATACTAGGATTTTCATGCGCGCCCTAAGAACGAACAAAGAACAATAAATGAAATCAGAAATACATAATCTAAGGAACAATAAAAAGATTGTTCAGTAAAAAAAGAACACAAATAAAGGATTATGGGCAGGGATATAGGGTCTAGAGTCGGACACAGTGTTAGGAATAGGATTAATAATAGGAACATT